CCCCACAGCTGCAGAATTATTAAAGAAAGAAATATTCAATCCAAACATCATCTTGCAGACTCATTGCATCCACCTTTTTACCCAAGACTTCCAAATTCTGGGTTTCGAAAAAACAAAACAAAAAAAAATAAGTACTTGAAAATTCAGCAGCTCTTGATGATTTTTGTGATTGTGGACAGAGGTCTTTTCCATAGACTCACATGTATTTGTGTGCATACACACGTGTATTTATATGTCCACATACGACAGGGGAGGAATGTAAGTTTTGTTTTTCATATAAAATCTGTGTATTTGTAATCTTCTTTGAACATTGTCTCTCGTTACAGACATGCACTCAGTACAATAAAAAAAAAAGGTGCTTGTAAAACTTGCTGACCCTCTCTGCTTGTATATGTCAGCCATCAGCTTTGATGTGCACTGATGAAGAGGAACATATAGGATGGAGTCCACAGAGACCATTTGCAGGGATAAACTGGACTTAACTTCGATTGATACGAGATGTGGGTTTGTGTGCGCGCTGCCTGCCTGCCTCTGGTGCCCTAAGGGATAAAAGTGTGTGTGTGTGTGTGGCCCAGGGTTTGATTACAAATGTTTAGGAGAGACAAACACATTAAAGCAAATTTAAAGCTGTCTAAGATGTGCCACAGGCAAAAGGGAGGAAAGGAAAGAAAATTAATTAAAAAAAATATAACAGACTTCGCTTTTCATATTCTTTGAAGTAATGCCATGTGACAAACGAGAGCAGAGCAAAAACACAGCCATTAAAAATTACAGACAAACCAGACAAAGGCTATCAATCTCAGGATAAATGATGACCAGATACCATCAAGATTTCATGATAAGAGGGATGATATGCTTACACATATACGTCATGTTTGAAAAAAACAAACAAAAACAAAACGTTAGCAGTGCTGCAGTGTTTTTTAAGTAAAACCACAGTTCACATAAATCCTGCTCCTACCTTCTCCATTCTGATTTTATCAGTTGTCTCCTTGTGAGATGTATTCTGTCTGTTCACAGGTGTGAGAGTCTGCTAGTCTGTGTCATAACCACAACCAACAGCCAACCAAACTTGATTTATCACTCAAGTGAAAAAGACACTTTCAAAATACTTTTTTCAAACCATGGATTGTAAAGAATATACATGGCATTAAACCTTAATTTTTTTGCCACTTTATGTAAGAAATGTATAATATAATACAGTGTTTCCCAACCATTGTGCCACAGCACATAGGTGTGCCACGACCAATGATCAGGTGTGTCGTGGAAGATTATCTCAATATAGAATATTCTCATATAAATCATGGATAATGGATGTAGCGTTGGCCTCTCTTCAAAGATAAAGGCCAAAGAGCAGGAATATGTAGCTGACAGTAAACAAGTAAAAAAAAAAAAAAAAAAGGTTAAAATGACAGAAATCTTGGGTCTTTATCAATATCTATCATCAAATCTAGCTCTAGAGGAGCTGTGTGTGTCTGGCTGTGTGCTCAAGTTTGAAGTGAGGTCTACAATTGCAGTAACCTCCATTTATTGGCCAAAGAAATGTACAACATGCTAGTTGTGTAATTTCAGTTAAAACGACATCAGCACTTACAACATCATCAACGGCTATATCAGTTACAGATTATCATTCCATAGAAAAAGATGAGCATGACATTTGTGAAATTCCATGATGGCCTAGTTCTGTGTAATTACTGCAACTTTATCCAGTCACAGATCTTAAGGCGATAATCCAGTTTGCAGAGACAGGCAGCAAGCTGAGGCCGGTGCTGGATGGGGCCTGATTTCACTGTTGATATACTGAACCACACACACTCTCTGATCCCTGGATGTTGTAAAAGTACAGGGAACAATTAACTCACCGTAAGGCAGGAGGCTGAAGATGATTTAATGTTGATCTAACACTATTCTTCTCTGTTGTTTCAATGCTTATCTGTGATCTTATGTCTGTAGACTTGTTGGTACAAGTCACTGGGAAAGAAAAGACAGACCCGACTGTGGAGAAGTCAAGTATTAAAATTTGTACAAATATGCAAAAACTGGCTGGAGTCCCCTGTCATAAAAAATATTCTGCAGTAACTGAATCCCGAAGAAAGTGAAAGAGGAGAAAGGCTGTGGCTGTAAATACCCATAAATGCTCAGTAGTAGATAGTAGTAGATCCAAAAACTTGACTTTTTTCCTGTCTGGCAGCTCCATCTTCAACATGCTTTGTTCAGTATTCATATGTCCACGCCATCTCAGCCTCACCTCTCTATGGCTGTGCCCCAATTCAGGGTATGCACGCTTGAAGTACGCGCACTACGTACGGTGCGTACTATACGTACGAGAAGTGCGGAAGTGAGAGGCTTGTGAAATGGGACAGTCTAGCCTTCGTCGCGCTGTTCAGGTTGCCTAGCAACCATGATACTGACCGCGAGAAACGTTTCATACAGCTTTGTGTGACAGAAATGAAGGAGAAAAATGTTTTGTTGGTCATTCATTTTTGTCATGACATCACTTTGATTAGTTGAGTATCTGAGGCTGAGACCACGGGACTGTAAAACATGATAGTTGGGCTTCATTTCTGCGCTGAAGAGTCATTTCAAGATTAGTTAGTAAATAACAATTAGCTAATGTTGTTCATGAGACAAAAATAATCTCACTGTGGTAATGTAAATATAATATGGCCAATTTTTTTTATATATCTATCTATAGATATATCTATATATCTCCATATCCTGTGTGGATTTCATTGCATGTTTTTAA